CTCTATTTTTTGTTTTAAATTTGGTTAAGAATTTCGATGCGCCCCTGGATAACCAAATTTAACCAAAAAAAGTTGGTCAGTGTTGGTCAGTGTTTTTTTCTTTCGTCTGCATAAAGAAAAGCTCTATTTTTTGTTTTAAATTTGGATAACCAAATTTAACCATAAAAAACACAGACCAACTTTTTTTGTTTTAAATTTGGTTAAGAATTTCGATGTGACCCTTTCGATGTGCAGCTAAAATGTTATGCAGAAGAAAGAAAAAAAAACTCTATTTTTTGTTTTAAAGTTGGTCAGTGTTTTTTTCTTTCTTCTGCATAACATTTTTTTTTCTCAGATCTTTTGGATTTTTTTTTTTTTTTAATTATTATTTTTTGCTGGGACTTTCTTTGGCCCTTGCATGGCCGGGCCGCCCGGGAAAACAAGGTAACCCACCCGGGCTGCCCGGCTGGTAGCGTTCCTTAGTTTCTAGTTAGTTATGTATGACCCGCGTTCTATTCGGTGGAATGGTTCATGCACACAACTCAACTCTTGGCAGTGCTGTTGCTTCTTCCTACCGTCTTCCCCCGAATAGAACGTTACTGAGGTCATTATAGCTGTGCATTTGGCGCAACTTTCCGTCCAGATACAGCCATAATGAACCGCCATACTGAGGTCATTATAGCTGTGCATTTGGCGCAACTTTCGGTCCAGATACAGCCATAATGAACCGTCTTCTGCCGAATAGAACGGTCATTAAAGCTGCATTCGGGGCAACGTTCAGTCGAGATACAGCCATAACGACCGTCTTCCCCCGAATACGACGTTCCTACGGTCATTAGGACTGCATTTGGGGCAACTTCCAGTCTATGTGCAGCCAGCCATAATGACCGTCTTTCCCCGAATAGAACATTACTACGGTCATTATAGCTGCATTCGGGCCAACTTTCAGTCTAGATACAGCCATAATGACCGTCTTCCCCGGAATTGAACGTTGCGACGGTCATTGTAGCTGCATTTGGGGCAACTTTCAGTCTAGATACAGGCATAGTGACCATCCGTTCTATTCGCGGGTAAAGCCGGTGCTCTTAGTCGTCTTCCGTCTCCTCCTCCTCGTCTTCTTCGTCTTCTTCTTCTTCTTTTTTGTTTTCTTTTTATTCTATTTTTAATTCAATTTTATTTCTTCTTCAGCACCGTTGTTTTCCCTACTGAGGTCATTATAGCTGCATCCGGGCCAATTTTCAGTCTAGATACAGCCATAATACAGACCTAGTACCTGGGCTGCGCACCTGGATCGTGACTGAGAAAGAGATGGGCTGCTGAGGAGTTACATCGATCGGGACCCGTGCTCATGTCCGGATTGTGAGTGGGACAGAGGTGGGGACCACCAAAGAGAGCTACCTAGTTCACGCCATGGCTATGTCCTCTATAGCAAGCTCTCCTTAGTGTCCCTCCTCTGTCCCCACCGCTGTCCCCACTTCTGTCCCCACCTCTGTCGCCCCTGTGTCCCTCCTCTGTCCCTCCTCTGTCCAACCTCTATCATCTATAGCTCTCTTTGGTGTCACTTCTTTAGTCTGTCCCACCTCTACCATCTATAGCTTTCTTTGGTGTCACT